AAAAGGTACTTTATAAATTTTCTATAATATTGAACCTAGAAACTTTAAATTATGCATGTAGAGCCCGGATTAAGTGAGAACCTATAAAAGGGGACTTTTTGGTACTTTTTCGTTCTTCAAAAGGTACTTTTTGAATTTTCTATAATATTGAACCTAGAAACATGAACTTAAACATGTAGAGCCCGAATTAAGTGAGCACCTACAAAAGGGGACTTTTTGGTACTTTTTCGTTCTTCAAAAGGTACTTTTTGAATTTTCTATAATATTGATCCTAGAAGCATGAAATTAAGCATATAGAGCCTGGAGTAAATGAGAATCTATAAGAGGGGACTTTTTGGTACTTTTTCGTCCTTCGACTGGTACTTTTTGAGTTTTCTATTAAATTGAACCTAGAAACATGAAAATAAGCACGTTGAGCCCGTAGTAAATGAGAATCTATAAAAGCGGACTTTTTGGTACTTTTTCGTTCTTCATAAGGTACTTTTTAAATTTTCTATAATATTGATCCTAGAAGAATGAAATTAAGCATGTAGAGCCTGGAGTAAATGAGAATCTATAAAAGGGGACTTTTTGGTACTTTTTCGTCCTTTGACTGGTACTTTTTGAGTTTTCTATTAAATTGAACCTAGAAACGTGAAAATAAGCATTTAGAGCCCGTAGTAAATGAGAATCTATAAAAGCGGACTTTTTGGTACTTTTTCGTTCTTCAAAAAGTACTTTATGAATTTTCTATAATATTGAAAATAGAAACATGAAAGTATGCATGTAGAGCTTGGATTAAGTGAGAAACTATAAAAGGGGACTTTTTGGTACTTTTTTGTTCTTCAAAAGGTACTTTTTGAATTTTCTATAATATTGAACCTAGAAACATGAAATTAAACATGTAGAGCCTGGATTAAATGAGGACCTATAAAAGGGGACTTTTCGGCACTTTTTCGTTCTTCAAAAGGTACTTTTTGAATTTTCTATAATATTGAACCTAGAAACATGAAATTAAGTACGTAGAGCCCGGAGTAAGTGAGAACATATAAAAGAGGACTTTTTTGAGTTTTCTATTAAATTGAACCTAGAAACATGAAAATAAGCATGTTGAGCCCGTAGTAAATGAGAATCTATAAAAGGGGACTTTTTGGTAATTTTTCGTTCTTCAAAAGGTACTTTTTGTGTTTTTTATAACATGAAATTAACCATGTGGATCCCGGAGTTAATGAGAATCTATAAAAGGGAACCCTTTGGTAATTTTTCGTTCTTCAACTGGTACTTTTTGAATTTTCTATAATATTGAACTTAGGAACATGAAATTAAATAAAAGAGGTCTTTTGGTACTTTTTCGTACTTCATTGGTACTTTTTGAGTTTTCTAAAATATTGAATATATAAACATAAATTTAAATAGGGGACTTTTTGATATTGCAGATATATATACATTTACAATAATATTTATTTTATTCCATTACGATGAGGGTAGCGAAGCACACTGGGTATAGCTAGTGTTATATATAAAAAGTCTACCCTATTTTGTTAACTCCGCAATTTGTGATACATTTTTATACCCTACACTACTTTAGTGGGGAGGGTACATTGGATTTGTGCTGATGTTTGTAACATACAAAAATATCCATCCTATATTGGTATAGCTTAAAGTATACCAATCGGCTTAGAATCATTTTCTGAGTCAATTAAGCTATGTCAGTCCGGCTGGCTGCCCATGTAAACCTTGTACGCAAGGTACAGGTCGCAATTTTTAAGATAATTAGATGATAGGCTTCGTCCTATTGACGTGTACCAAGTCAATAGGACGAAGCCTATTGAAAATGGCTAGCTCATAATTATGTTAAATATACCTGTATCTCGATAAAAAGCACAAATAAGTTTTATACAAGCCTTGATAACCTTGCCAAATTTCATAAAGATCGGTCCATATTTGCCCCTAGCCCCCATATAAACACTCTTTCAGAAAATTAGTTTTTCCTCCATAAATTTCTTAAATGTATCGGAAACAATGTGGTATTGAAGATAAATACTTTATTATGGAAAATAAATCACACTTAATACTCATAACTAGTGTACCACGTCCGACTATACTTTCCTACTTGTTATTTGCTGATGATATTTTTTTTGTTATTTAAATTCTCTTTGGATTTTGAAGATGTTTTGGTGAATAAAATTAACTTTAGCTTTGAACGGGTCCTTGGTTTAGGTAAGAAGGATAGACACTCAAACAAGTTTAAGTGGTTCTCGTGGGTCCGTCTGATTTCGTTCCCGTTGTGATGCCCTATTGGTCATAGGAGTCTTTTCCTACAAAAACTACTCACTACTTCCAGCTTCTGCAGTAGTCACTGTACGGGAGACCCATTCTTCTGTCGAGGCTGTCAATAACACCGTGTCCCGTTATTACCGATAACGGGACACATTAAGAGATACCCGGCATTCTTCGGTTAACCTAGATGTCGAAAAGACACCCTCTAGGTTTCTGATTGCAGCTTTGCTGTCCGTATATACACGTATATCCCCATATATTGCTAATCGTGGTACAGCTCAGTCTTGAGACATTGACTCCGCCCATCGTAGCACTGATGACCATATTACTCAGGAGCTTTTTTGCTGGGTTGATTGGTCGACCCCCAATTCCTTCAAGCGCCGCAAGAATGGCGTCGGGTTCAACATTATTGAAGGCCCCCTAAATGTCTAAGAAGGCTACAAGAAGATACTTTTTATGTGCTACTGAGCTTTCAATATGGCCAACTAGCGAGTGAAGAACTGTTTCAACAGATTTGCCCTTGGTGTAGCCATGCTGCGAATTAGAGATTAACTCTGATGGGATAGTTAATCTGAGATGTACCTCAATGACCCGTTGTAGAGTCTTGAGAAGACGCAAGACTAATTGCCTGTAGTCCTTTGGCCTTTCCCCCTTTGGGAATAAGGACCACATTGCATTTCATCCACATAAAATCCCAACTCCAATTTAGCGGAATTTAAATAATATATTCTTTATTTGTGATCTGATCCATTAGAGATATCTCTATCGAATTTGTGTACTTTGGGATATCCTTTTTTCATAGTATGTTGTATTGGTCAACCTGATTTGTAAACATATTATAATTACATAGTTGTAATATGTTTATAAATATGTTTTCTTTTGGTATTTATAATTTTATTGAAAACGAGAATATATTCTAGACTATGTAAGATATTTTTATGTAATTTTTGATTTACAGCCTACAGTCATAGCATATATATTTTTTAATGAAAAGCAATACAAGATTTAAATAAATATATTAATAATAATCATAGTTGCTATTCCTTAGAATAGATATTTTTCATTCAACCATTTATAGTTATGATTTATACCAATTTAGTTGGAGTAGCTACCTTTTATTGAATAAACTGTTTAAATTTTACATACATTTGTATACATTTTCTTTACAAATATATTTCTTTAAAAGTTTAAAAATGCGAAGATATTAAATGACATAATACTTTCTTTATGTTATACTGACAAAATATACATTATTTGGTATCATGTGAAAGATTTTCTTAAGTTGAACGGAGTACAAAACTTGTAGAATTGAGTTGCATTTTTTATTTTAATTAAATACCTTAAAATTTTTTTTCATAACTTTTAAGGGCGGACGGAATTATTCCTGGGATCTTCAGAAAAACGAAAAGCTCGTTATTTCTTTTCTGCTAGCTACATATTTATAATGCATACTTAAGGACATTATACATACATGTTTACAAATCAGGTTGACCAATACAACATACTATGAAAAAAGGATATCCCAAAGTACACAAATTCGATAGAGATATCTCTAATGGATCAGATCACAAATAAAGAATATATTATTTAAATTCCGCTAAATTGGAGTTGGGATTTTTTCATTTTTAAATTGGGAAGTTATTTCATAATGAAATAATTTCTTGGAGAGCTATTTTAATTTTCATTTAAGGTGGAAGTACATAACACGCGTTCTAAGCGGCAACGCGTTATAGCTTCTGTGGAAAAAGTTGAAACAGTGTATTTTAATTAAATAAGTTATACAGCAACTTTCAACTTTTGAAGCGTCTGTTGCTTATCAGGGTTGTATTTTATTTTGTGTAGAATAAGAATAAAGTAAAATGAAATAAATATCACCAATAAGAAAGAAATATATTAAAAAAAAAATAAACAAAAACTTAAAATTTTTTGTTTCAAATTTGAAATGTGAAGATTTATACACATTAAAAAAATAACGAATTATATTATAAAAAGTAGGTCGCGCTTACTTTCGAGTTTAATACATTTCAGTTTAATCGCTTAATAAAGATTTCCAAAATAGAAGGCCTATGGCCGGGCGCAAGGACTTTCTTCTCTATGGTATGTCCAACAACGGCTTCGCTTAATAAATATTTCCTGTGACCGGACGCAAAGTTTTGCCACTCTATAATATGTCCAACACCGGCTTCGCTTAGTAAAGATTTCCCAAATAGCCGGCCTAACGCCGAACGCTCTTGATACACGGAGAGTGTATTCTTAGCGAAGTCGGTGTGCAATATACCTCAGAGGAGAAAACCCTTGCGCCCGGCCAAAGGCCGGTTATCAAACATATATTTTTTTTATTTCGTGTGATAAAAGTAATATTTATTTCATATTTGAATTTTGAGGAATTATTTCATAATGAAATAACTCCCCATTTTAAATGTGAAACAATGCCTCAAAAAGCGAATTAAATCCCCAAATTTCGTTGTTTTTGCTTTCTGAAGAAAATGTTTAACAAGTTATTTCATTTTTGTTTTGAGGAGTTATTTCGTAGGGAGTTATTTCGGAGTTATTTCATGACGCCTTTCTTGAAAGCTCGCTCTAATAACCGGAGACTCGTATTGAATTATCCCTATAAGAACATTTCAATTTATTCAAAATTTAATAGCTTGAGAATTTCAGAACAATTAAAATTAAATTTATTTCTATAATTATAGAAAATAATAGAATCTCGAGCAATTTGACACACAAATATTACTTACATTTAAATAATCGGGTTGATTTTCAATAATATCTGGCACAATATATCTGGCTGGTACTGTTTGTTTTGTAGAAAAGGGCCCATAGCTTGCTCTTATAGACACAGCTTGTGTTGTTTGTACGACGGTAAACCGATCCACAGATAACACTGAATCATAAGCAGTTCGTGATTTCAGTGGAGGTAGTAGCGAAGAATGTGTTGTTGATATATCAGGCGTTACTGGAGCCTGTCGCGAGTGTTTTAGAAAAAATCCACTATCAGCTGATTCGAAATGAACTTCTACGCAATTGTATAAATCTAAAAATATAAACATTTTTAATTATTTAGTATTAGCACTTATGAATGTTTAATTTTCAAAATTGGAATAAGTGATTATATATATGAATGTATGTTCCCGCTCTCGTCAGTTTTGCAGAAATAATAATTTCATATTTTTGAATAAAACGAATAATTTGAATTATAATAAACATATAACATTGTAATTTTAAACACTTACATCTATTAATTAAGTTTTCAAATAAACCAAGTTTTTAGTATTTAAATATGTACATTAAAACTCTCAGCGATTTAACTAATACACAGTAAATTGGATATTTCGAAGCAAAATTTTTATTTAGCTGTTTACATACCATTTTTTAGATTTTCTAAAAAAATATGAAAAAATATTTAAAAACGTAATATTTGAATTACGTAATGAAGGTTAATGATTTACATATTATTCAATGGATCTTCGAAGGAACTATTGTTTGTAAAAAACCGACCTTTCGAAAAAACGGGGTTTCGGTTAAACAAAATTTACTTAACGTCATTTTGCGGAAGTCCCCAATGCCCTCCTTGTGTCTAGTAATCTTGGATGTCGTCTATCAGAAGAAAAAATAACCAAGTGATTAGACCCACTTCCCTAAGCTACATGTACGATTTTGGGGATACCCACTATGGCATATGTGGGTTCTAAAGCGTATGAAATATGAGTTTAATATTTCAATATTACACATTTTTTTCCACCGGTGTGCACCATAGCAATTTTGTGAGAAATTTATGAATAAAACTTTTGAAATGTGTGTGTTTGTATTTTTATTTTTAATCTATGGACTGATAACCAATTAACCGTTTTTTCACAGTATCTTCTATAAGTTTGAAAATTTTTAATGGGCGAGGTGCCACGCCCATATTAAAAATAAGTATTAAAAGTCGTATATATAAGAATCCTCAAATTTTGCACGGAAAATTCTGACATCCATATACACATTTTGGATAAAATTGGCGAACTAGCAATAGTGGGCTTGGTACCTCACATATGAATTAAAAAATAAAATTCTTATATCTGAAAAACTTTATAAGCTAGAGCCACCAAATTTTGTACGATTAACTTTAATTTTAATATTAATGTTTACAACAAAAATGGACGTACTAGGAATATATAACTCTACAATCCTTAAATTTTGCATGATGAACATTGATATCTATATTTATATTTAGGAGTAGATATTAGGGTGATCGGCTCGGTTTTTTAACCGGTTGTAAAACCGTGTTTTTCCGTTTTACTACTGTCGGCTTTTTCTAAATATTGATTTCTCGAATATCGAATAACCCGGTATTTTTACTTAAAAACCCGGTTTCGAATACTTTTATTTTTGCTTTGCATTCAACGGAAACTTAAAATAATTTTGAAGTAAATAATAATACATAAAGTTTGACAAATGTTGAGCCTAGGGGCATTTGAAAAATAACAATCGTTTTTTCATTTGTCAACTATTCAAAAAACCGTTTTTGGATAATGTCGAATAATCGATCACCCTAGATCACCTAGGCAGCACTTCCTCAAAATAAATGACATTGAAATATCAATTTCACACTAATGAAGACCTTATCACTATTTTGTTGTGCACTTCATATCCACATATGTCCAATATTCAACAAAAATGGGAAAGTACTTCTATTGAATTAGACGAAGAAGCTAAACAACTTCTAGAAAATGAAAATTTTCTAGAAGTATTAAGAAGAAATATTAACTAAAATTGTTTGATTGATTGTAATTTTTAAGTACACTGAGCTTGTATATAAATGAAAATTAGTTTTTAATTAATTAGAAATGTCTGTTATATTATTTATTTTATAAATTTGCAATAAGGATTGATATTACATAACTATTAAGAAAATTTACTGTATTTTTACATCACATCCTTTAGGATAATTGCACGTTATTTTTTTATTTATGTATTTTACATAAATTGAGGCAAATTATTGTATAAATTTGTTAATTTTCAAATAAATTTTTGTTTACATATTTCAAGGAGTGACCACTAGAAAATTGTATGAATATTTAAAACTTAAAATGAAATTGGTCACTCTACACCCAAATATTCGTCGTTCGTCGCGTATGAAATAGAAATAAACCTATTGCACAGTTCGTTACGTACGACGAATTCCATGTTCTTTATCTGACGACGAAAAATCGTTCCGAAAAATTCGTCATTCGTCCCAATTGTGCTTATAGCATTATACTAAAATTCAACTAAAAACGGAAATGTTAAATTAAACCCACCGTAAAATTTTTTCCAGTATATCGATTTTTAAGTTTTTGGCAACAATTGAAGACCAAATTCTCACCTACCAAACAAAAAAAGGGATTTAAAAATTCCTATTCAATCAAAAGTTATAGAATTTTGACCGCCATCTAGTAAAATGGTTCATTGTGCCGCCGCTTCAAAACTCCATTTTCTGCTTTTTTTAAACTTTGTTAAACAAATTTAAAAAATTTTTAAATCTCACCCGGGGATTTATGGTGAATAGATTAGGGAATGAAATAGTGAAAAAATACCTCTTATAATTTAGCTGACCTGTGATTTGAATTCTGGGAATTTCGCGAAAAACTATAAAAAATCCATATACAAATAATGTAAATAAGAGTTAAAAAACACCTTCTTATGTGTTCTTTGATCTACGTTTTTGTTATGGCAGTGAAACAAAACAATATATAAAAATTAATGTGTGTTTATTTGTTTGTGGGTTTGTTTGAAGTCTATAGGCTGCTAAACGGCTGGACCGATTTTCTTGAAATTTTCACAGTGTCTTCCTGTATGTCTGGAAGAAACTATAGGCTACCTTTTATTTCAAAATGTCAAGTGGCAGTATTAAAAGCCGCATATCTCAGAAACTGCAACAATTACAGTCCTCAAATTTTGCATGGACAACTTTGACATCCATATGAACACATGTTGGCAAAATGAACAGCCTAGCTACAGTGGGCGTGGCACCTCCCATATAAACAAATCTTAAATTAGTATATCTGTAAAAGTATAACAGCTACAGTCCTCAATTTTTTTCGGAGCCACTTTAGTATGGACACGAATATTTAGGACAAAAAACTGGCGGACTAATGGCACCCCCCATAGAAATTATATACTAAAATTCATTTACCTGTGAAACTATTGTAGTTAAAATCTTAAAATTTTGCATTAATACCTAAGTCCATAACAATAGTTGTTGAGAAAATTGGCGGAACGGCTATAGTGGGCGTGGTACTCTCCATAAGATTAAATGTTAAATTCGTATATCTGTAAATATATAACAGCTAGAGTCCTCAAATTTTGTCGGAACCACTTTAGTGTCAATGTTATTATTTAAGTAAAAAAGGGGAGGGCTAGCAGTAAGGGCGTGGCACCTCCCATATAAATTGAATACAAATTTCATTTCATTTATTTTCCAAAACTTTCAATTTACATGTTTTCTTAAAACTAATAATCATATTACATATATTCCGACATACTAAGTGTCCTCCATGGACTTTCAAACTTAAAACTACTTACAAATTTATAGCTATTACTAAATAATTATAATTCTAAATTAATTTTACATTCAATGTGTTCAATCCTGTATATAATCCCTCAAAAAATGGGAAAAAAGGGACGCTCTCATTTTTACTTAAAACTAAAAAACAAAACTTAATACCTAATAAAGAAACATGAAAAATTATTTACAAAAGTTATAGTATAGAAATTATCCGCAAAGAATGAAATATATACAAAAAATTTGGCCTATGGCCTATTGCGCCGTGTTATACACCACATTGCATACATCCAACGTCTCTATCCTCCTATGATAAAATAAGAGGTTTGTACCCTCATAAAGAAGCCCAGCCTCATCCAACGCGAGAAGGTTAATTGGTGACTTTCGAAACACCCCTGAACAAGACTGTTCTCTAAGGAACGAGCCTTCTCCAGAAATCTAATACCAGTGCCCATCATAAAAGCATCGATCCTCTGAAAGTCGATCGCCCTATAGATCGATCTACATGAAGGACGCCGGTATATGCCATCTGGCCCCAGTTTGCGCCGTAAGCCCAAACAAGATACCAATATCCTTCTCTCCCATACCCTAAGCCTCTCCATCTGAGCAGAAGAAATTCTGGACCAGACTGGAAAGGCGTAGGACATGAGAGGGCGAATTATCTGGCGATAGAGTAACAGACCTATCCTATAGTATCAAATATTCGACTTCGATTATGATCATTAATCGATTATTACTGTAAAAAAATCGATAATTTTGTGATCGATTCTACACTACCAATTTTATACCGAAATCGATTTTTTGCGTCGATTAATAGGAACTTTTGCCCTGCAAAATAAAAAGCATACTTTTTCACTAAAAGAGACGATGGAAATCAATCAATTAAACGGTTTTTTAACTGTCTCAGTTAAAACAAGTTAGAGTGCTATATTCGGCTGAGCCGAATCTTAAATACCCTCCACCAGCTACTTTTATATTAATACTTTTCTAATTGATCAAATATTTGTAGAAATAAGTTTTCTCATGTCTTGAATAGAAGAAATCCCAAGATTTAAACAGCTTAAATCTATTACAATTCCCAGATTTATTGAACATTACAAACGCCATTTTCTTTATATTTTTATAGCGCTTAGCGATATTTAGTAATTTGCATGTATGCATGTGTGTGAAAGATTTAAGGATTTTCAAAATACATATATATAATTTTGTTCTACACAAATTGATAATGCAACTAGTTAAATACGGTTAAAGCGCTTTTAGGGGTAGGACCCACTATGGGAAATATGGCCAATTATAGACCGATCGCAAAAAATTCTTTAAGCTAAATTTCTGTTCATAAAAGCTATATTTCAGTCAAATTTTGTATCTATATCGTAATTTAGTAATAAGGCAGGCATGGGGGGTAATGATTACACAAAGTAATTCACTACATGGTCAATTACAATTAATGTGTAATTGAGAAATAACCAATTACAATTATTTGTAATTGGTTATTTCTCAATTACAAG